AGTTTTTGCTGCGCTCTGCACAAACAGGAGTGTTTGTGATTATCACTCTGCCCGACAGTATGTATGTATAATTCCTCCCCAATTACATCTACCCATCCCATCTAGTCTGGCAGGAAAAGCATGTTGTATGTCCCGCCTGCTGAGGAATTCCATCTGATGGGACCTAGGAGACAAGCCTTTTCTGCCGTGGCACCCGCCCTTTGGAACATCATCCCCCCTGAAATGAGGTTAGCTCCAATGTTTGTGGCCTTCCAGAAATCCCTTAAAACATGTTTTTTTCAACAGTCCTGGGGATCCCCTGGCAACAGGAAGCCCATGCGCTGGTTGCATCATGTGTAATATTCTGATGCATTCTCTCTCAATATCTTATTTTTATTTATGTTTGTTTTAAGTGGATTTTGTAGAATGTTTTAATTGTTGGTCTTATTGTACACCACCCAGAATCACTCTATGTGAGATGGACAGTCATATAGATTTGCTAAATAAATAAATAAATATCCACCCCATAGGATTTTTTTCTGCTTTCTATTTTTACATTGTATTTCTCTGCTATTTGTAGAAGCATGTTTCAGAAATTTATATAGGCATAGAAATAAAATACACATAGACAGACAGTACATGGAAGGCTAGGAGCTACTGTAGGTGAGCCAGGTTCTAACCCTCTCTTAAGGACAGGACCCAGCTGGGCGACTTTGGGCCAGTCACTCTCTCAACCCTAGTCTGGAAAGTAAAAAAACATCTATCTACTAACGTGCACTGGACTAGCGTGCTGTATTACAGTCCATTGCCTTCAGTGAAGAGACCTTCATCCTGCAGTGAATTGATTTGGGTGATAACACAACATACATTCATACATACATAGCTAGGATTCACCAGATGTGGTTTTCAAGGCTTTTCAGGAATTCTGATTGTGAAAAGTCACTGAATAATTTTTGGCATATTAGTGCTTGATGAAATTGTCTAATATCATACTGAGGATATTTGATCTTTTTATTTGAAGTTTGACAAATTAATTTGAATTTCTACTCTTGACAAGTGATACAGCATCATGTGATAACTGATGCAATAGTATTTCATATTTGATTATGTTTGATAGTTGATGTGCAGTAGCTGGTATTTAATGGCATTTAATTTGATGTGAAATAATAATCAACTTTTAACTGATATGCAGTGGTATTTAATCTTTGACAGTCCATCGCTTATGACATTTCATATTTGTTGTCTCCCAAATTTTAAAGCGATTGAAAGTTGCCACGAAGATACAAGCACGAGAATAAAATATGAAAGCTTGATATATACTTGGTAGAAAGCTTTAATGAAATTAAAGAGGCTTAGGTGGCAGTTCTGAATATGTGTTCCAGAATCTCTGGTGCTGTGTAGTAGAACATTTTCTTTCTATCACACCTGTTGTATTGTACTACTAAGATTAACAGAAGGGATCAATATTATTTATTCTACTTGAAACTCTTCAGCTGGTTTCAGGACAAGATATTAACTACTAACCCCAGCGAAGTTTCAGTAGTTGCTACAGTATTTATTCAAATCAAATCAAATCAGTTACAGTACTAGGATTCTGGTTAAGTATCAGTTGCCCTGTAAAGATATTCTTGGAATTGAAGGACCCCATAGAAATCTTCTAAACAAAGAATTTATTTTCT